CATTTTGTAAGCACTTGATATTTAACACGATTCTCAATAATTTTGTTTACATTATTAGTCCCAATAAAACTAAAATTCCACTTTTTACTGCGCTAAACGGAGACGTCATTGACAAACAACCCAAGTGTCCAGCTTATTGCACGGGATCCAATATACGTCCAAAACACTGTGTAATTTGAGAGCCATACTGTTTGATATATCACAATTGTTATCACCTGAGTTTATTACTTTAATAATCACATCGTCTACATCATTTAAAATATAAAAATAAAAGCGTACAAATCAAGATCACTCATAGACACCACTCACAACGTCGCACACACTCACGTAACTTATTCTATTAAGAATTCGTTTCGACGCACACATGCAAATTCTGCATAAAACGAGGTTACGACGTCATGTAAAATAACGAAAATTACAAAGCCGTTTCATTAGACTTGGTGGATACGAAAACAATGTTAATTGATTTAAATTATTGATATTCAAACATAAAATTGAACTTTGAATTGCTTATTTATCATCACAAATATCTCATATATTTTTAACGCATTGCAACACTGAGAACCAAAGAGTAAATTAAACTGAGAATAGCCTTGAAAACCAAATGTATTCGTTTTAAAGTTTGGCGAAGGAAAATCGTATTTAAGTTCTATTTATAAGAAGTAATGAAAATATATTTTGCGAAACAGTAAAAATACAACACTTGCATTTATATTCCGATGCCTGCAGTTGATTACTTATTTTCTATTAATCAAGTGATGCCATGCCATATTTATGTCCATGTCACTTCATAAAAATAAAAGCATCATTATAGGTCCCGTCGGGCACAGCATATTTGGAAAGAGGGTAGGACACTGTGCTTTAAAATGTAAACAGATACTAGTCCCTTTCTTTTATAAACTAAATAAATATTGTTTAATTAACAGCAAATAAGACCCAATAATAATAACAATTTTAAATTCAAGTTCAAGTTCACTTATTTATTTGCGATTTCCACACCGGTGTACCGAAATCCAATTCTTGAATACAGGATTGTTTAAATTCTCTACTATTTAATTACACTAACTCCTATAATTACACTTTTGCATGGATTATTAATTTTTTGCCAGAATGCAGTGATGCACCATATAATAACAGCGAAAAAATCCACTATGCCAGCTTCAGCAAACCTACGAATTCTGTGTATGCTTTTTAATATTTTATTTGATCCATTTACCCCAGGATATTTGGAATCTAAGTTTCGTTATTTTGGTTCCGGTTATGAGCGTCATCTTCGCTCTAGTAGCAACCTAATTCTTCAAGCCCCCTTTCATCATACATCATTTTTTCTAATTCCTTTAACCTATCAGCTATTCGCCTTTGGAATGCTTTTCCGTTTCGTAATAAAATGCTCAGAGTAAGGTAATATTCAGGAAATTGGTGCATGAGCACTATCTCTGACTATAATTGTATCGTTAGCATTATGTGTGTTATTTATTTGAATGTATTTGTCTTCTTCTAAAGGTTCTTCTCCAACTAGTGAAGGTTAGCGATTAACATGTTCAGGATCTTCCTGTCTTTAGCTCGGCGGAACAGCTCAGCAGCGCTCGCTATCCCGGTCCACTCTCGGATGTTATATTCTTTTTCCTGCAACTTTGCCCATCATGATCAGCTGCAGGAGATCATATCCCTGATGTCTAAGATCATGGCATAAATACGAGACTTTACGCCGTGTAACAGTTGCCATAAGAGTGCGTTTTTGGCCACGCACTCCAAACTTGTTGGAGGACTGGGACATTGGTCACCTTCTCGATCCAGCTTATAGAGAGCATGCACATAAGTCCACCTCTCGAAAGTTTCTATGCGTTCTTTAAGGGTCCATGCCTCATATCCATATAATACCAGGGGCCAGGTGTAAGAATGGAGCTTATATCAAAAATAATTATTCAATGTTTATATTTTTTACCTTTATCGTCTAACATGCAAATCTAACATTCGCTCAGGTTGGCTGGTAGATAATGCCCTTGGTATTAAGTCCGCCATTTGTATTTCATGTATTAGTATTTTTATTATTTAATGAAATTAAGAGTAAAATAAATAAATAAACCCTTATGGATGAATAAGAGGCTAGGTCGTCTTTTCCATTCTCTGCAAGAATGTGTCTGAGATATTTAAATTCAAAATTCATTCAAAAATACGTCTGATATATTCTCCAGTCCCTTCCCCACTTTGAAAACCATAAGCTCTGTCTTTGACACATTATAACTAGGTCCATGCGAAACAGCATATTGCTCACAGACACCATATCGTCACGAGTTGGCTTAAGTTTTCCGATTTAGTCGTTAATACGAGTATATAGGCTAAACAGATCCGGAGAAGTCAACCTTCCCTGACGAACACCGCATTCCAGCCTGCTGGAAGTCGCGTTGCCCCATCTCACATAATTTGTCTGTCTCCCATACTAGTACCTGAACAGATCCACTACATTTGTAGGCACACCAGTGTCACGCAGTTTTCTCCGGAGAATATCATAATAGTGAGTTATCAAATACACGACTTAGGTCTAAAAAGCATGCATATAGATGTTTTTTGTCGTACATAATATTTAACAGTACTTTTTAAGCAGAATATAGCTGAATCCTTCGAGAGACCGGGACGGAAACCAAACTGTGCATCATCAATCTAAATGTTCTTCGAAACCTCAGGCTGTAACAGTTTTTCAAATACCTTTCCAATAATTGTACCAGAGATATGGGTCGGTAGTTACTCGCTGACCCCAGGTCACCCATCTTATTTTTGGCGACAGGTACCACAACTACTTTCATTAAGTTGGGTGGCACAAGGGAGTATTTTAGACACATATTAAAAAGCTTCGCCATCTTAAAACAGAGAGTCTTGCCCGCGTGAAACAGATGTCTTGAACCTTAGCAATATTTTCCTTGCAATATTTTATGACTGATAAGGGCTCCTTAGTAGTAAGGTCACCAGAGTCATTCAATTCCGGCATATAATCCGACATATTTGCAGTATATTAACATATTTGCAATTTCTTCTTTATTTTGTATACCATTGATACTAATTACTAAGCTCTGCTTTAGATTTAGCTTTTTAGTTTCTTTCCAAATATCTTTTCTGCTAATAGCCAATATATTTAATTTGATTTATTCTTCGTTATTCTGGCACCATTTCAATTTATTTTTATTTTATTTTTTTCTTTGTTTTTTTCCATGTTATTAAATATTTCATAAATAGTTGGTTTCCCATTCTAATCCAATAATTAAAATGCATACGGTACAATTAATGGAGTTCTAATAAAAAAACTTATTTACAAGTTTTATTTATTCTACAATCAAGAGCTCGTGTAAATTTAAAAGTTGGATTCTGTACTGTTGTTATCATTACAATTTCCGTAGATGTAAGGCTCGTACTATACAAGTAAAAAGCTTCATGTGCTCTTTATTTTAGCTACAATTCATACTTAGCTCATTCTCCATAGTAAACTTGGCCATCATCCCCCCCTCTCCTCTGGCGATCAGCTGGTAACGCCACTGCTTTGAGAATGCGACTTGCTTGAGGTGCTGACCTGTCCCACCCAGTGACACATCTGCCACAGCTTTATCCATATGTTCAGCCATACCATGTATCAGAAGCATGCGAAGGCGACTTCCCATCTCGGAAGTCTTCACCTGCTTCTTCAGTGTCGAGAGAGGTCATAACAAAAGTCTGCAAACGAACAAAATGCAGGGGCCAGTGAAGATGCAGTATCCGCTGCAGGTGAGCTCAGCCCTGTGAATATCTGCTTGGAAGTCAGCCAAGCTGGGGACGACCGCCTCACTCTCTAACCATAGTATACTTTGACATGGCTTTTGGTGGATGAATTTGGCATCAATTACCAAGTTGAAAACACTGCTGTCTAATCATATTCATTATTGTTAATAATTCGTTCGTCGTTATTAAAATACATATCGAAGTAGTAAAATGAAACGAAATACCGTTATAAAATCACTAAGGTGCCATATCCTATTGCTAGAGTAGCTAGAAGAGTTACATTTACTCTGCTGGTGTTAAATTACGTAGACATTTCCTGAATAGTATTTCACCGACTCGATAGTGTGAGCTTGAATTTTAATGCAGTGATTTATGAGCGAAATTTTATTATGCTGAATAATTTTAATAAAATTTTAAAACCTAGAGTTACAAATTGCGTGTCCTCTGTACATCTACGGATTTTTTTATCATTATGTACCAGACTGATGAAGGGTATTAAATGATGACTAGGAGAGATTCTATCTGAGGCGATAGCATATTGACGTTATCCCAGCAATACCAGAAAAATTTATCTCTGAAACTACGTAGAATTCGTCTCGGGATAGAAGGTCCTCGGATCACAATGTTTTCGCTTTTATTGCAAAGAAAAAATAGAGTTAACCCTCGGGACTTCTTTAATTTTGACAGACTTTAACTTGACTATTTGTAACTTGTTTGTAAATAACTAATCAATAAGATACTTGACTAACGACGCGCTTAACTAGACTTTTCACACATCTGACATAAAAAAGAAGTGTATTGCGTTTAGGGAGTTTCTTTATTCTTATAGAGAGTTTCTTAATGGGATATTAACGTACCTATAAGGTATCATTAGACACTTAAAAAAATATTCAATATATGGCGCGATTTAAAAAGTTCCACAGGCTGGTCCTCGATTGCAAAGAGAATTTTGTTTAGCCAAGCCATGATACAAATAGACTCATTTATTTTTTAATTCAATTTTGGTATACGTGTTTTTTATTTTCAGTCATGAATTCCATGTTTTATCGCTTGGGACAGTCCTATCATATTTGAATCGCTGTTACGTTTTTTCTATGGAATAAAACTGAACCCTAAATACTCATTTTGTTACAAAACATAAATTGCATTAGATACTTGTTATTTTACACATTTTATAGTTGTCATACAACAAGCGTGTCCTGTGATGTCGACTCTCGTGTTGGAGGGATTTTAAATAATACAGATAAAAAATTGGAAATACATAGTTTTATTAGAAAATGAAAACAAAATTTCTTACACTACCTATATAAGGCACGACAAGTTAAAACAAACCGCCTCAAGCACCAAATAGATAACGAACCGTCACTTAAGATGCACGAATGTACATTAATTTTCCAAAGTAGCAAGTGGCATTATTTGATATGAATGAAACATTCACATTAAGCGCGACGTATTTAAAAATCAGCAACGAATACGCATATAATATACTTAATATACAATTTCCAGCTAAAAAAAATTACCAGTGCTTCCACGGTGCTCTTAAAGTGACAAATATATTGGCGCAGCGGCGCTAACTGAAGTGGATACAAATTTATTTAAAAAGTGCATAAAACCATCGTCTATACATATAAATATTGTTTACAAAATATACAATTTATTGGCAAAAACAAATGATGTCGATGTTTATAACAATTGTATGGCCGGTATTTACTCACATCGATGTACAATATAATAATTTAGTAGATATGCTTTTGGTGTGAAATTATGTTTTAAATTTCTAGTCTCTTGATTAGATATGTTATATAGCTAGTGTAAATAGTGTGACAAAAAGGTTAATGATACGATATATTTAGTTATGAAAAATCGCAAAGCTAATTTACAAAATTTACACGAAATTATATTTTGAAATATACATTAATTTGTGTGCGTTTACAGTTGTACGAATGGCAGAAATCTAATAAGTATATATTCATTGCGATAATACACAAGATAAAAGTACCATTTAATATATATTAAAAATTATATTACAAAAACTTGTTACAGTTTACATGGATAGAAATTACATTATAATAACAGTTCCTTATAATGATTATAAAGTCTAAACAAAATGCAAATACTTAACACTGAAATAAATTACTAAGCCCCGTGTTAACGTCGCACTAAAATTTACATTTGTTAATTAATAGCAATAATAATATCTTATTTGTATGTCTTTGTACCAAAACATGATTTAGGCAGAGTTTTTTTTTTTATTGTGAACATTGAGCTTACTCATGTACATCAACAAAACGTCAATTTATACAGAAATCTCAATTTTCGCCACTTCTTTATGACATATGACGATAACATGACGTGTTGCTGTGTGCATAGACATGATACGAGAGAGAGCTTACGTTCCATTCAATTATATAATCATCAGAGGTTGAAATGGGAAACTTTTCAAGGTAAGAAAAGTGAATTTCGCACCTCATCATATAGACATTCGCAAAACTTTTGCATGGAAAAATTTTGAATGCCGAAAATACACTTCCACTTAGATAAAACATAATAGACACATGTATTTTAAAAAATGTCAACATCCGTTACTATAAGATAATAATAGAACAACACATTTTAATACTTTAATTTTGATATTACCAAAAGGACTACTTTTAAGTTTATTTTCCACGATTTATTGTCACTAAATAATGTAATTCAATAATTTTGCCGTATAAAAAACATACCTATTGGTCGAGTTTCTAAGTCTCTTTAAAATTAGCTAGTATAAAAAATGAGATGAATATTACATGAGTTTCATTAATACTAAAATATATACTTAATAAAATAGTATTAGTAATGACATTTGTCGGATGAGGTAATCTACTAATACCTACTAAAAAACAAAAAAAAAATTGTTAGAATCGAATTTTATGTTTCTAAGAATCATTTAAAAATTTTCTAAATAGCAAATCGTTAAGTAAAAGCAATGTTGCCAGGGTAATAAATATAGTAAAAAAAAGAGTTCTTCAAGACACAACGTTTCTCTGATCAGTCACAATTTGTTATTTATACTCTAAGATTTAGTAGCAATCAGTTAGGGCTCCGCTGCCATATGTTGGCGCAGCAAGCTAGGGGTCAGTAGTGGTCCAGGTCTGCTGCGGGCGCTACTGAGTATACAGATGGTGGCCTAAAAACCCAAATTGATATAATATACTATGAATAGATACTATAAAATGTTAGAAAACATAGATAATATTTTTTTGATACTTCATTTTCTTTAAAATATAGGACGTTTGTATACATTACACACATTTTAATATCATGTTGGATACTGTAAAACTTTAATTTCTATCTCCTCCAAACATCGGCTCACTAATTTTCAAGAATTGTTTAGAAGGCGCTCTAAGCTGTCTATTGTCGTTAACTCCCCCTGCATGGTATGTCTTAGCCCATTCTCCCTATTTGTTTGGATCATCCTTAAGGCCTGTGTCCCAGAGCGGGGACATTAGCTGATGATGATGACTATATTTACAAAATAGCAGAAAACCTTTTTATTATATTAGATTAATTTTGCATTCACAATGCTATACTGGATTGTCTAAACATTGACGAAAATAAGCTCACTAGCGAAAAGAAAGAAGTGTTTGAAAAATTTATTAGTCCTGTTTGGTCCTGGGTAGCTCAGTAAAGCAGTCGCCCGGATTGCGAAAGGTCGTAAGTTCGAGTCCCCGCCTCAGATTACCTGGGGCTGGTAGATTTTTTAAGCATTTCTCATTAAGAAAACCTTCTTATATTTTAAAATTGAGCGGGGAAATTTGACAGTTCTGTACAACCTCCAATGCATTTCAGCGCATAAAAGCCGCCCATAATACTGCAAAGTATCTGTCTATATTTATCAAAAGATCAATATATATACCTCAATGACCTCCTCGGTGCAGGAAGCCTAGAGGGTCGGGGTAACGCTGACGTCGGCCGCGGCTCACTCGTCACTACAGGCGCTGAGAATAAATTACATATTTAACGTTATAACGGTGCGTTGTACCACCGTTTATTTCCTCCTAGGTATCCGCATGCAAACTTTTTGTATTTGATCTTCAACATATTTTTTTTTATTATTCTCTTTTCGTAATTTCAAATTTTGAGTAATCCAATAATCCATATTCATCTAGCGTGAACATGATAATTACATATATCCAATATAAATTATTATTATTATTTGAATAAGAAACGTATATTTTCGTGAAATATCTACTAAGTTCTACCTTATCAATCAATTTTTATCAATTTTAATTATATTGTTTAGGTAATCATACGAACTGTTTTTATATTCCATTTTCTGTTTGTTACAGTTTTTTGTTGTTGTAACCCTTTAATAATTATTTATTTGCCTAAGCATCGAACCCGGCACAACGTTCGTTCGAAATACCAAAACGTTTGAATTTATCGTATTTGGCGTAGAGCCAAAAAAACAACATAATAAAGCATATTGGCATCGCTTTAACGTTCCCATACACGCTTTCATATCAATGATGATATATATTTTTAATCTATATAAATAAAAATTAATCTCAATCCAGAATCGAACGGCTGAATCGTTTTGGGTGATTTCTTTTTTTGTTCTGTTTTATGAAGCCCGTGCAAGGTTTTTATAGAGCAAAAAATACGTTAATAATACAAGGAAAATAATAAAAACTACAATTTTCTTTTCTTTTTCTTCTTCTTATTAATGGCGTTGCCCTTGTGGATTTCGCCAGAATCCAGTGTTTCGCTCAGTTTGTCCTTTACAAACCACTCTGTATCCAGCTGTCGAATATTTGACTTCAATCAAAGCAACACAAAGGCGCGTTAGAATTAATCTTTGGTATACCTCCTGATTAGAGGTTGCATATCTTTAATGAAATAGCGAGGAACAAGGTCTAACAAGGTAAGGCTGGGACGGATACGTTGATATAAACTCAATTTAAAATATCGATATTTATTTTTTTTACTTGCCGCTCTCTAGATACTTGTGAGTTATGGATAGAAACGTGTTTTGATTCAAGCAAACCGGCCACCATTTGTAGGCGAAGAAATTTATGTTTTTACTGCCTTGAACTATTTATTTACCTGGAGCGGGTCTCTGTGTCGGTACTGATGTTGGCCTTGAAACTCGCAGTTGTGGAACACCCGCAATAGAATAAGGTCGCGATGACGGCGACTGAAAGATTCCATAAGTAATTCAAATTAATATATGTACATTTTTACGTCGTAGTGAAATCCAAAACTTGTTATATAATCATAATTAGTGACAAACGAATATAAATTACTCACATACCCAGAAATATGTTAAAAAAATCTACAAACAAAACGGAACATTTCAGTTACGCAAAATCAACACTTAAGAAATGTATTTGATCGTAGAGAAGCCATTTTTTTATAAAATCGATTTGTTTTTTTGCGATGACATCATGATCCCTATATATAATTAAATTGATTTTATTTCACCTAATTGAAATTAAATCGTCGCATACACATTTCGTTTATGAAATTATTAAATGTGGTGTTAATAATGTTTATTACAACAATGACCGTTAATATTTCAAAATAAAGAGATAAAAAAATATATTTTTCTTTTTATAAGCCATTTATTTATGTTATATACCATATTCCACGATAACATGTTATGTAATTTACGAATATCCTCGAACATCCTGTCCAGTAGTATACACAAAATATACTTGTTTCGTTTCGGCAGATATTAAATAAATAAATAATATTAGTCAACACCACATACATTGTTCAAATTGCAAAATGAGTAGCTAAAGTCCCCATATTGTGGAGTATCTGAGACAACGAAGGCGCCACAATACCCAGACCCAAGAGAATATAGAAATGTCCATTTCCTACATTCACCCGACCGGGAATCGAACCCGAGATGACTGTGGTGGCGACACCTTGAAACCGGCGTGAGAACCACTCGGCTGTGGAGGTCATCAATAGCGTTAATATAAATTAATAAAAAGTTTCCAGAATTGAATTTGACATAGATATAGAATATAAAGCCGCTAATGTTATTATGAAACACGCTGAATAAAAATCATGTTTTGAATTATATAAAATAAATCCTAAAATTCTCATTACTCTTTAAGGGACGTTTGGCGTTTCTAAAAGCCGTTTACTATATATTCTAGTTTTGCACTCCGGCATACTGCAATAAAACGTTCTCTTCCGCGGCAAATTCACCCTTACTGGACAAGGTATTCGGGCGACATTTGGTTATACTCACAGGCATGTGATGGTTGCGTACTGTCGACGGCGCCGGCAATCCACTGGCCGCCGCCCGAAGCTGACGCCACACAATTAGTTAACACACAAGCGCAATGTATATAAAACACAAGCGTTACTAACATTATGTACCAGAATTCAAGCTAAATGAAAAATCTTATGTATGCATATATATGAAGTATTTATTTATTAATTTAAAAATAACTACCAAAGAATCTTGGAAATCGATCTGAAAAGTATGACACTACACAGCGTCATCAAAATTTAGAAAACATACAATTTAAATGTAGTTCTCGTTAACGATAACAGTCCTCGGCGAATGTGGAGACAAAGTTTACCCTATAATAAATAATTAAGAGCTTTGTGTTTGTTCATAGAATATTCAAAGCACTCATTTAAAAAGAAAATAAGCTATAGACGTTATATATGATAAAATAGGTGCCGAATATGATGTGGAGATTAATTACTCGGAGTCTTAAAATTTTTTACTTGAATGGTCCGAAATTGTCGAACATACCAACGGAATGACTCATAGCATTGTTATTTTTGAAAGTCTGGTTATTGGTGAATGATTATTTGGTTTGGATTTGGAAATAAGGTAATAAGATAACTCCTCAACTTGCATGCCAATTATATCAATTATCTAAGTAATTTCTTGTAAATTTGAAGCAAAAAATACGAATCTAATAAACGGGATAGTTTTTTACGCAGGCTATTCGCGGAATATAACTCTAAGATTTATTATAGAAGACATTTTGTATTTTCAAATAATTAAGACAATGGAAGTAGGGGAAATAAACGTGTTTTATAAAATTAATCATTGCAATACATAGCTAGGCATATCATTAAGACATGATTTCATTAAGATATAAGCAATAAATATATGTCGCATCATCATTACGAAGATCGTTTTATTTAGTTTCTTTTATTTTAATTGCTAGTTACTCGATTACTTAATTACTCGATTGTAAAGAGAGCGTGATCATCGATACCCTTAATTTTATTAGAACGGTGACACTGACTTTGACAGATCGTTAATAAAAAGCAAGTTGCCGCCATTTTGGCAGACATTCTGTTTCCGATCGCCGAGGAGTAAATACATCTGTCGACATCACGCTCATCTCGTTATATTTTCACGTGAAAAGTGATAAAATGGAACAAATCCACGTTGGTATACACGCCTGGAGTGTTATTTTAAAGATAGTACTCCGATATGGACAATCTATTTGGGCTTCGTAATAGCCCCTTCGGATTACCCGCCGTTATATATAATGTAGAAAAATATTAACTTGAACCGTGGTACGTTTGCGAGAAATAAGAAATTTTATTGGTGTCAGAAGAAAAAGCTATTTAGTAACACAAGTAAAATGCTGAGCGCATTTCAATATATAAATAACTGTAACATTTTTGATTTTTAGTACAAACATCGCTTGATTAAGACACATATATGCAGTTAAAATTGTTAGTACAGTAATATCAAACAACTTTATCCTGGAAGAACGGGTACCAATTTTATGACATAGAACTTTTGGGATATATTGCGATATGAATATCATAAAATACTAAATAATCTGCAACGCTATGAATTCGAGCCGTTTGCCAATTTACTACTAGATAAATTCAACGAATGACAAATACAAATTTGATTTCTTATATTTTCACGCGCACTATCCATAAATGAAACAACTTTCAAACGATTTCATCGCGTTTGTATTTAATTTTATTTTCGTTTACACGGAACCTGTAAAGGGTCCGTAACATCAATAAAACTAAATACTAACGTGATGAAATCGTATAAAAGTTGTTTCATTTATAAATTTAAAAAAAAATTATAACTTTCAATTCCAGTTAAAACATAAAATGTATCATAAAGTTAAAACAACATTTGCACTTAGTGAAACAACAAAACAAAAACCTTACCCAATAATGTATAATTAGGCAAACGTATAGTGTTAGTTATATTTTAAATGTATGCATTGGAAAATGTGAATGAGTATTTATTATTGAATAATATTATGAAGACGAAATATTAATTTGTCTGTTTGCATCCAAACCTTCTGGACTGATTTGAAAAAATCTACGGATCGTTACATTATACGCGGGTGACATAAGACATAATTTATGCGGGCGAAGTCGTGAGAAAAGAGCTAGATAATATATTAATATCTATGTAACTAGTTCTTAATATTTTTAAATATAAAACTCAAAAATGTTAAAAATGAGATATAAAATTAGGACTTACATCTCTCGGCATCATCAGTTGACTCTGCGGTCTTTCCCGGCGGAGAGTTTCCGTGCCTTGTCGTACGAGCGCGGGCGGCGCTGCTAGCGTTGTCTTAGCTGCTGTTTTCTCATCCTCTCTCTGAAATTTATAATTGTCATCTTTATCGAAAGTTTCAATATTTGTAACAATATTTATTTCGGCTGTTTGGGTGGATGCCTGAACATTGATGAGAATACGCTCTGTAGTAGCGAAAAGTAACAAATGCTTGATAGATTCGTCAGTCCTGTTAGGTCCTGGGTAGCTCAGTAGTTAGAGCAGTCGCCCGGATTGCGAAAGGTCGTGGGTTCGATTCCCATCTCAGGGTGCCAGGGACCAAGAGGATTTTTTAAGTATTTTGTATTAAGAATTGTCTTTTATTTTGTAGTACATTTAATTTATTTTGCCTGTAGCGCCAAGTTCAATTGAGCCAGCGGTGTAGTGACTCTGGTTATTCGTACTTACCTCCCTCTGTGCGTGATCGACGGCCACCGTATAGGAGTCCCGTCTGGCGGGTGGCGACACTAGAGTAGCGGGCGGGTTCTGCGCGGTGGGACTCAGAACGGGGTTGGAGGCGTACACGCCGCGTCTCACCATCGGCCTACCGCCGGATGAGACGCGCGGTACACCACTCGGTACCGGATTACCTATACGCGAAAGTAAGGACGATCATTTTAAATCCGTATGAGGAAAAATACAAGATTGACAGAAAGAAACAGAGAAAATTTCCCGTTGGTTATATATAAAATGCTATTATCCCTTCCTTATTTGTAAGTGGTATGGTAGGTGTCGAAACGCTGACCTTTAGAAGGAAATTTCTTCTCATAGCATATTTAGCTAGCTGTAATTTACCACGAGGTGGATTCACCGAATGTATTCGATACTCTCTGTCTCTAAGTACCCTCCCGGATCCCGGTTAGCACCGAAGGCACGGTGGCTCCTTGCCGCTATCCTCGTCTGCTGAGGAGGCCAGTTACACGAACTAACTACACTGCTCAAGTACGTGGGATACGCTTGCTCGGAGATGTGATTGTTTAAAACAATGATTTAGGTTTGTTTACTGTTGGGAGAGTACGATTGTGATCATTGGCTAGACAGATCCTAGAATCTTTCTAAATTATCCTTAGTACTGATTTATATTGTTATTAGAAATAATTAATTTCGTGTGACATTTATCTGTAATTTAAACTCATGTTATTTTTCTAAATTGACATTTTCATTATTATTTCATAATTTGACATTATTTATTTATATCATTTTTATTATTAATTGAACATTTGACTTTCTTCAATATTATTACCATTACTTTATTGACTTGTACAAATTTTAAAATAAATGTATAATGAACCAGTGTAATTAAGTATATGTGTACAATTGAGTAATAAATAAATGAACTCGACCTCATTCTAATTGAAAAATTATATCACGACCTCCGTCATCAAGCGGCTCGCAGGCCGGCTATAAGTATCGCTATCTCTGCGGTCCAGGGGTAGATGACCAGGGCAAAATCTTGAGACTGGGTTTTTCGGTAACTTCGTGGAGTTCATTGTCACAAAATTGCATAAGACGAGTGCTCTAACTACTTAGTTTGGGCCCTGAGCTGTGTTTATGATGTTATCTAATATTAAATTTAATACCTTAAGTTCGTTATTACATTGTAACTATAATTATAGTTTATTCCACAATGATCTTATACTTTGTTCCAACGCGCGTGAAAACCAAGATTATTAAAAAAAATGGATGGTTTAAGGACACAAATATGTGAAATTTGAACACTCGAGTGACCAAAGTGGAATAAATCTTTTTTATAATAGCAGTTCGTTTCAAATTGGCTGTGGAAGATTGTTGCTAAATGACGTCATAAGCATATCAATTGGTACCGTCGGCATACAAATAAAAATTGTATTTTTCTCAGCTTAACTTTCAAACAGCTAAAGCCGAGTTGGGCGTTGATATACTTTACGTAAAGATTATCAAATTTGGTTGGTAAAAATAAAAACAACAACGACTATAACGACCGACTCGGACAGACGCACGTGATGACGTTACTAGCTATATTCAAGTTGCTTAGAGGTGTGATAGGGTAAAGGAAAGCGGGGGTGGTTGAAAGTGGCCAACTCGATGTGGAAGTTGAAGACCGGGTTCAATCTTTTCGATTACCGCCTGTTATTAACCAAGATACTCGAGGTAAAATACAAAGAAGTTAATGTAGGTTTTCTAATAGAATATCAGTAGGACTAAATTGATATGAGATTTATGAATATAAACAAGTTTATAACTATTATTAAGCCCAATCACACTTCGCTATTCATTTTTTATATGGAGAATAAACTTCAGAATTAATAAGAAAAGAAAAACAAATTCACAGAACCTCGGTTCCTAATCAAACATTAGTTAATCCCGTGCACACATTCGCAATGTACTACATACCTTCTTTAAATTTATCTATCAATTTGCTAATCAAAGTATATTATTCAGTCAAGCGCAGCCGTATAGAAGCCTATATGCGTGCAGTTAGTGCTCACCAGGTATTCTGCTAAGCTCCCTATGCGAACTGTACTGCCTAAACTTGGATGTAGGCAAGCCTGTCTTTCTAGGCACTGCTACTGGCGGTGCCATTGCAATTTGGGGTCCTGGAAAATATAAATTGTCACTACTGTGCTGAGAGTTCAAGAGCATGATGCTATAAATGGTAATATAAAAAAAACATATTAGTATTTGACTTATATTTTTTATTATATTTAAGGGGTTTGATGTGATATTTTTTATTTGGATCTCGAATTTGCCGTTTCCAAATATGTGTATATATATCAAACTCAATATCAAAAAAATATACTTTAAGGATGCCATAGTCATTAGACTTTTTTTTTACGTAGTATCTGGCATGAAAAATATAATTCAGTTTTAGACTTATATATTTATCGAATAATTGACCAAACGCATTTGATTTGTCATTATAGAAAAAGTCTTGTATAAGAGTTACTAATGCGTCTAATTAAAATGTTACTAAAAAATTGACCAAAATACACATAAAAAAATCACAACTGAACAACTAAAGTGTGTATTGTGCATTTTCATAATGTTGTGTGTGCATTTATCGAACATTTTACATACCCAAACACCTACACACCCATCCACAGTGAAAAAGCAAAGCATTTTAATAAAACACAACATTTAAAACACAAAACCAATGAAATAAAACAAAAAAAATATATAAGCTATTGTGATTGACAGTTGTACGACCACCAAAGATGAGCTCTAACTCTCTAGAGTTCGCGAGAAGCAATTATCTAGTTCCGATAGTTTAATCGCTGGATTAAATTGATTAAGTGCGACAGGCTCGCGACACCCTCGCTCGTTGTGAAACAACAGTTCACGGCATAATCATCCGCTTTCTTCATAAATAAGCAATAAATATAAAAATACAGCAGCTAACACAGCGCTGTGACAGGATTAGAGATTCAATCAAATAGAAGTCCTAATACCTTTCATAGTCGGTTTTATTTTGTTAAACCTCTAATTCTACAACGCTGTATGTAATAGAATAAATACTATTGCAGTAATAAGTCATATAAGTAAGATAATAGAACATCGAATATCATCTTATTAACGCGTCCCCCATGAGCCTAAAGAAAACGTAAGCAACCCATCTTTGACAGTTTTCATGGTTGCTAGAAACTAGTGAAGAGATTCTAGCCGGCATCTATGTGGTCGTCTTAAATCATTAAATAAAAAAATGTTCAACAGGTACAGAATAATCATAATAGTATTATTCATTAGTAATATGTTATTCATTTATAAAAATCTGTATCTGAGTTAGATGAAGTTAAGTAAGAAAGTATGTTGATAGGCAATCGGACAACTACCTTTTAAAACCAAAGAGATTAAACGCAATAAAACATTCAAAAAATTATATGCAATTAGTATTGAAAAATATTGATTTCACAACACCATCTACCGAATGTCGGGTTCCACTTAATTTTAACTTAAACACTTAAGTTTAAGTCAGTTTTATTCGTTAAATACATCATTACTGTCATGCAGTTGATTATTTTAAATTTAATCAAATAAGTCGTTGTAAGTTATCAATCAATATCATAAGCCGTTATAAAAAAAAATCATACAACAGACCTGCATTCGTAGGCGATGTCCGACTGGGCGAATATCGCATTTGCGATGGTAGACCTAAACTCCTTTTCTCCTGACTAGTCCGGCCAGCTAAAATATCCCTTTTCGCCGACGACTTCTTAACCATAGTAGCGCTATTTATCACGGTAGTATCATGAATGTCGCAAGTATTCTCCAGCGCTGATGTGTTGGAACCGGGCGATTTGGTTACAGTATACGATTTGTCATGTACAATGTCATATATGGGTGATATTGTGCTGTGCAAATTTAACAAGTCATTTTTGGCCCCCTTTTTCAATGACAGTAGCGGTGTCGAAGCGACGTGTGTGCCTGCAAATGGTGGTTACAGTGGACTTAAACCATACCACTGTTTGTAGTTTCCTTACATTTAATATTTAGTTACATTTTGAACCTTAACATTAGTCAGCCATCGGTAAAGAAAACTACTAGTTTAAAATATTATCTTTAAGAAATACGACAATTTGTTATTTTCACTGTGGTAAGGAATTAAATGTAACAATGAAGAAAATATGAGAAAAAAGATATTATCCAACAGTAAAGTAGGTGAAAATATGGAGAATCCACCACCCTCCATAGCCCTTTAAAATCCCGACAATACCATGATTTATTTGATGAAAGACCTGAATATCATGTTGAGGTATAATTATATAGAGTTAATGAGTCACTACACAAAACAAGTAAAATGCGCACCAATAATTTTAAACCCAATTAGCTCATTACGAGACGCTCTGGTATAGATGTTGAGAACTTTAGGATATAAATTATCTAAAATATTAATTGAAATAAATTTTATGTTTTAGATTTGTATCTACTATTGGTTTTGTTTATAAAATGAGTTACAAAATGTATATACAAGTAACACTGTTTTGACATGACATTACCTGTCTACGCGTGACATCACACCACTGTAAACAGAAACTGTTACTGGTTGCGACGACAACCAATTACAGGACGTTTACGTTGTCCATTGAATTTGTAAAAATATTTCATTTTCTTTACATTATTTTACTAATGCTAAACATAAGATATAAACTTTATAAGATTATTATCTAACAGGATTACTACAACACGCAACTTATTTTCAATAATGTCAAATACCCTATTATTATCTATGATAATTTGAATTTAACATTAAGTATAATATAAGTACACTTACGTGGGTCATTAGGTGGCGTGCTATCTGGCACACTTTCAGGTGGACTCGAAGAACTAAACGTCCCCGTGTCAGTGCTTTCACTGGAGCCGACCATAGCACGCTCTTGTGAACCCCATTCCTTTAGCAATAGATAACAAATTCAAAAGATTTGAATGGTCAAAGCGATTTATTAAGAAAAATTGTCAAGCTTAATTTGAATTTAAAAACCCTAGATCGCTTGCGAGGTTAATGCAAAAAGAACTAAGCATACTCCTTTCGCTTACTTGACATTGGTTATTCTTTTCACAAATGTCGATCAAAAATAAAAACTTACCTCTTTTTGTGAAGTTCGTTCAGTGGTAAGATTTAAAGTAGCCGAATTTATATCTATAATATCTTTAGTTTCTTCAGCATTAACGTACACAACCGTCGTATCCATGGCGGTCATCTTAGGGGATACTTTCTTGAAAGTTGCATTTCTTTTGGGTGTTTCCCTGCTAGGTTCCTCGTGTCTATCAAAACCGCCGTTCATCGCCCTCCCCCTAGACAACAATTCTGATGCATTCTCCATACTCCGTCTAGGCACCGTGATTGTTTTATTTGGCAACTGAATAGTTTTAATCGGTGACGGTTCGGATTGGTTTGTTAACTGGTCTGGTTCACTTGGCAACGTTTTTCTCGCTAAAGACAATTTCTGTCTCGCTTGTATGATCTCGTTTAACTCCTGTTTTTCCAAAGTCACATTCAAGCTCTTCCTGCCCAAGTCCACCGTTCGTTGCATGCCCATGTCTTTATAAAACGTGTCGTCCTTCTCAAACGTAGCGTTCACGTTCTCTTTCTCCTCATTGTCACTTCTGAACTTTGTATTTGAGTAATGTAAGGTAATTGTTTCCGTCATTTCAGGATTAGTTTTGGGCGTAGATTTAACAGAATCCTTCTTTTCAGTGTTTTCGTTCAATATCTTGGTAGTATCAATTTGGCAGGCTTCTTCACGCGATTTAGTGTAACTTTCTGAATTTCGGATTGTCGAATCGCGTTTCGTGAAACTATTGAAGAGTTGGCACCGAGGTCTCGCCGATAATAGCTTCTCAGATTGCTCCAAGTGCGTGAACGTCACAGAACTAAATATATTAGAGTCTTCAGAGGGATCTGGCTTTTGGTTGGGAGTGTTGGAAACGACGTATGATGAATTCACGGAATTGACAAGACTTGGCGGTAGGGAGTCCATTAAACTGTCGTTGTCAGGATACGTGGTTTGTGAGAGGAAACTAGTGCTCATATCTTTCTCGTCTAGAATACTTAGAGTTATACTTGTCATCATTGGGTCGAAACTTTGGCGGCCTGATTGGGGTGGCGCTGGGGAATATAACATTAAAAGTATAGAGACATTCGCAAAAGTGGATGGCTGGCATAGATTGTCCTTCGATTTAAATATGCGATATTATAATGAGAGACTGGAATCCGAAATTGTAAATTGAACAAAGTAAAATTGAAAATTTTATTTTGAAAATCAAACCGGCCTTGTTGTAATAGAGATATTTTAGGTCTTTATCACTATCATGTGACGTTTACAGTTCTTTTATTATTGAAACATTAATATTTTTGGTATTTGCAATGTTAAAATCGATCCGCATTATTTGTATCCACTTACCTGAGTCTCTATGCGGCATGGACAGCGATTTTCTGCTATCTAACGATTCCGCGTTGAAGTTACCCGAATCATCCATAAGTAAGGAGGTGACAAGACTCGGCGGCGACATGCGCATGAGGGACTCACCGCTTTGATACATATTCAGGCTGCCGCGTTCGTTCATAATGTTCGTGAGACCCCTGAAGATAAATTAATTAAATATTACTAAATAACACTAGCAGCACATAGCAAACTAAGTACCCAAAGACTTTTTAAGGTAATTAGGAATTGCAATTATAATAGAAAAGTTCATCTGGCCAGATATCGAAGCCAAGATCTCGTCTAATCATTATCATTAATTTAGGTTACTATACAAGGGCCCCTTTCTTAGTACTGAAGAGTAAAACAATGCGTTATGCAAGCAACATGCTGTTACACACATCTCAATAGTAAGTATACTATAATAATACGGACAAATTAAGCAGTCTAGAGTGGACTCATCTCCCCAGGCAGCATCAATTCACGAGCATAACGCATGTGCCATACGTCCGTGTAAATCGAATATATTGATTTGACTTTAAACCACCTTTAAAGTTAGATAATTTTATTTGAAAAAATAATATACAGACAGCGAAGTTAGCACATAAAATAATCAAGTCAAAAGACTTCAAAAGAATTCATGCATCTTCACGCCTCGTCCCTTGCTGGTTAAGCAGAGGACCGAGTGCCACAAGGCACAATCAAAGTGCCAAGTGCAAAAGCAAGAAGTATGTACTTAAGGCAGTCCTTATATACTTCTTTCAATTCCTCCATTGCTCTTTTAATACATCCTCTGGTTTTTGTGGTTTCCGGCATTACCTTAATAGCACGCGATCAATTTGATCGTGATACATATGGGTATGTCATGGCCTTCCGGGGCTTCTACATTTTCACGTTATTATCATCATCAAACTAGCTGTAGGAAGTAACTTAAGTTACTCTTATAACATAAGCTATCAGCCAGTGAAAATTATGTCAAAATCGGTCAAGCCGTTTCAGGGATATGCTCATAATTAAATTAAAAATTGATAAATTGACTTACTAACATTAACAGCAATTTTTACAATACGAAAAAAGAATTATGCTCCCAAAAAATATTACTGAAAATTTACACTTAAGAGTTTCATTCACAAAAAATGTGTAAAAATATCAGCATATTTTTAACGTTTCAAATCATATTAGAAACATACTGGTTTCACAACTGATCTTATTATTATTATTTCACTGTCATCATCATTTGCCTGCCTTTGTCTTAATTATTTTATTATTTACAGTTTTTGATCAACCATCATATAAACATTCACTGCCTATTTAATACATTAATTATGAAAAAAATATCGGCCAAGTGCAAGTATTCATCCACTGAGTGTTCCGTACAAATATGTAAGTAACAAATATTGTGTAATAAAATAATATACACTTTAAAATATGCAAAATCAAACCCATGCATATACAACTTCACTTGAACTTCATATCACAGTTCTAGGTCAACGGAAAGTACCTTATCAATTTTGATTAGCTTGAGTGTCTAAAAATCTTTTTTGCCGTATCTTTTTTATATTAATTTAGAAGTAAAATATACATATACATTTTAAATAATAATAATATTTATTTTCCAAAATTTACATGTGGTTATACTCAATATTACAATTGAGTAGCTTCTGTGCCTGAATGAGGTTTATATACTAAACCTGAATCTCAGGCTCCAGCGCTCCACCCTCATTATACGGTCTTAGTATAAGAATACAACATTCAATGATAATAAATATTGAAATTCATAATTTATCCATTTTAGTTTCAACAATTATAAATTATCAATTAATAACACCAATATAAATAATAATCATAAAAATCAACATATTTTAAGTTTGAGTTTGAGTGCCTCTCGGTGTGTAAAAAGTGGACGAGAGTGTGTGGGTGAGGGTGTGTGAGTAGATGAATTATCATTTTATCTTTATACCAAGATCCAAAGAAAGTTATTAATAAAGGAGTAGTGAAATCGAAAGATTGGATTATTAAAAACGTATCGAATGTAGAAAATAAATCAGCTGATGTCACAAGTACATATACAGAAGACAACAATTCTATGATAGCACGCGCATTTTTAGAAAGTATCGGTAGCGTCACCATAGGAAACTTTCCCTCTCATATGCTTTTTTTTAGTGCAATCAACAAGTCATTCGAAGTAATTGTTATGAAAGTCTTGTTAAGATTGTAACAACACAGTTTTTAGAATTTTGTTGCGATGGATGAAAGAAAATTATGAGCTTTGAAAGCAGCTAATGTGAAAGTCAAATACGAAAAAAATATCAGAATTAAAACATACATCGAACGAGCAACTAATAATTACATTTGCTATAAATATTTTTTCCAGATTTTCCCAGTTAGTTATAAAATATTGGTCGCAGGCACAGAACTAAAATTAGTACTTGACTAAAACACAATTTACAATGACAAAAAGAAAATGTCAAATTTAAGTCAGGTACTTAAGATGATGTTTTGTTAAATACCAAAAGCCATCAATATTTTTTCTCTTACTATGCACTAATTTCAGCAGGTCATATATGTATGAATAATAATGCAACATATGAATACCACTGAAACACTGCAGGTGTCCTATGAACACTTGTTTTCATGGACACTAGCATTTTTTACGTGCTGGATACCCACAAAAAATTAAATTACTGTTTCCTCGAGCATAAAATGCCATTGTGTTAGATTTAATTAATTGTAGCAGTAGTAGTAAATAATAAAACCGTACTTATTGAATGTGTTGTGTAAATTGTGAGCCGGCTGTGACAGGTCAATGTTGATCGGTTTAGACAACGCCGGTGCATGATCGAAGACCCCCCGTTCCGATACTTCTGACGGTAGCATTACATCCAGGTCTTCCAGCTGCAAGTCAAAATAATCAAACGTTTACAATAAAATCGAAAACTAGACAGTACAAGGTTGGCTTCTGAGGTGTGATAGTTTAACTTAACGCATAGACTAAAAGTGTAACATATGACTAAGAGAGACTAGCTTTAGTTATCTCGAAGGATCGTATATTGTATAATAAGCGACGTTTTTGAAGTTAACACCTGCGTAACATTCTGTATCACATTTACTTAACAATGTGTTATAGTCGGGTCACACACACTAAAGGAATCTGCTGACATATAACATCGTTGCACACGGTCCCATTGTTGGAGTGACCGAAATATTACCAAAACTGCTGATGCAGCGGCACGTGGAGCAACAACGGACGTGGAGGCAATCCGAGTAATAGAGTCACTTTTAGATCAACCATCGATCGGGTCACATAGTTAGGTTAGTTATTAAGAAATATAATGTAATTTTATTTCATTAAATTAGTATTAAGTAAATTTTGGTTTTCTTTGAAATCTCCGGCTGCAGCTTCTATAATTGGCGCAGTCGGTAGGATACTCGATAGGGTAGCTAGGAAAATACTTTTTTGGGATTTTCGCTACCGTGCGCGAGCGAACGGTATCTCGTCGCGTCACGTCACGTCGAGTATCTCACAAAAGAACCTGAGGCCGCAGTACCGGAGACGAATCTAAAAATCGATTCACAAAGAAAGCTGAAATACAGAATAAACTGTAAGTACATTGAATATTTCTTTATTCGTGTTGCTATTCCTAGTTCCTAGATCTTGTCAAAATTTTTAAAAATCAGAAACCTGTTAATAGCGAGTCCGCGATCCAGCAGACTCGTCGACAACGTAGGTTAGACGAAAATAGAATAATAGATAGTAGTTTAGATTTAATTATTTCATTAGAAAATCCGTTCGAATCGGAATTCATTATGTCTCACGATCCTGATACTATTTTTAAGGCTCTCCGCCCTGTGCCGGATTTCGATGGTAATCCGAACGTTTTGACCAGATTTATAAAGTTAGTTATAGTGTTTAAATTTCATATAATAGCGATATAATCCTTTAACTTATATTAAATATCCTTAACACCCAATCAGGTCCTTTTATTCCTCTATCCATATATAGCAACCGAAGGGAAGTCATTCATGTACATGGAGGCTGAATGCCCGAAGGTAGAAAATCAGCATCTTTGTGTAGAAAATATTAATAATCATCTTTATTATCAGGACGATTTTATTCATTACCTTATAACAAACCAATCATTAGATAAGAACTGCAACTTAACCACAATCGAGTTGAAGAAAATTAAAGAAAATGAACTACAAGATGTAAAAAAAAAAAGACTACTGCTTCCGCAAGGCTCCAGCAAAATTCTATAGACTCACAAGTACTTCATAGTATGTATTCAAGATAATGTGATGATGCAGACTCCGGTTATGCCAATGAAAAATGAAGATTGATCACCGTACCATGCAACTATTCCGTGTTACTCGCTGCTGTTGAGTGGTGGCGCTCCTGAAGTTTAAATATCATTGTTATAAGATGAATGAACTTGAAAAGAAATTAGATAAAACGTCCAGGATGCAAAGCCTTAATATGAAGATGTAAAAAAAAAAAAAAGATTCGGATGCAAGAAACATCCAGCAATATTCTCTAAAAGAGTTTAGATAATAATTGCTGATCTTCAGAAGGGAGGTGTTATAGTCGGGTCACACACACTAAAGGAATCTGCTGACATATAACATCGTTGCACACGGTCCCATTGTTGGAGTGACCGAAATATTACCAAAACTGCTGATGCAGCGGCACGTGGAGCAACAACGGACGTGGAGGCAATCCGAGTAATAGAGTCACTTTTAGATCAACCATCGATCGGGTCACATAGTTAGGTTAGTTATTAAGAAATATAATGTAATTTTATTTCATTAAATTAGTATTAAGTAAATTTTGGTTTTCTTTGAAATCTCCGGCTGCAGCTTCTATAATTAATGGGCAAAGCATTGTCAACAATAAACGGTCACAAGTCAGAAATGAAAACATACCTACAATATATTTTATTTTTACAGTTGGTGCAAATACTACTAGTTTCTACATAAATCTAATTTAAACTTAACTCGAACACATTAAGGTTTAAATTCATTTGAAGAATTTGGTAACTCTTGTTTTCACCACTTTTTGATCACAATTTTGTCTACGGGATTTCGGAATCGTAATTCCTAAAGAAACTAAAGTATCGTGTTTTAAGCAAATAAAAATAGTGCTCTCCCTCTTTACCTTGGTACATCCATGGACACCGATGTAAATTCCAAGTATGTAACTAGTAGTTGTAGAATCAGTAGTATTGAAATTGCTAAAATTAACTGTCTGGGACGGTCCAAGATGGCCTTGTTTAAATTGCGGATTAAGCAAATCGATTACATGATCGGTCGAATCAATTTTACGGCTGAATGTCAGAAGAGGAACTGCCAACTTACAGGCTTTGGAAGGCACATTAAGAGAGTGCATAAATAGAATTTTAAATTAGTTTTGTAAAGAAATAACGCCCGAATAAGTTGTAATTAAAATAAAAACACCTCAACAAATTTAATTAACAGGCGTGTTTTAAGGTTGAGTTACATCTAACGGGACGCTAGACTTTTTTTATCGCGCAAATTTTTATGTACAGGCGGCGGATATGAGTCTGGCAGCACAGGGACATATACATGGCAAGCCATCAACACTCGGTGAAGCCTGGGAAGACCATAGAAATTTTTGTGCATCTGGGCGGGGTTAGGTTCAGCTAACTCTTTACGTACAATGGACCGACTACTCTTAGACCTTTCATGAATAATTATATAAACTATTAAGACAAGACTTCGGCTATAAACCAGATACTACTATTACATAACGCATAGAAATTAATTTAAAACAACAAGGTCACGACCAAGCAACATTACCCACGCTTCTATTTTGTAATCGTGGTAACATGGCCCGCTTGTGCAACTGCCCGGTAACTACATACAGTGCGAACAATCATTATATTCAGTAATCATTAATTTAGACTTCAAAGAAAACTAAGAATATAATTATAATAATATTTATTCAGTAACTGTTAAAGAATCTTACGAAGAAGATTCCATTAGTGTGTCAAAAACGCAATAAACAAATTGGTAAATTATTTTCGAGCAATATAAGTGGTAGGCAAGTTCTCCCAAATGCACGTTAAATCGCTGCTGCTCGCTTTGACACCCATTAATGCGCCCTAACCCGCGTGTCGTGTAGTTACATCCATTAAATTCATACGAAAGGCTTGTGCCCCAGCCGTGGTTTCTTTATTAGGCTAATTGGTCGTATCTCAAACCCACCTACAAATGTAATAATTATTTTACTTATTCAACCACATACGTAAAAGAATAATTACATTTGTAGGTGGGATAATAAAACAAAATTCTCCTATCATATTTTTCTCCAAACGGATTTTGTTTTCATTGGAGGACGTAACTCATGAGGAAGCATTTGTTGTATAAACTATTAACATTTTATTGCTACACTTTTCGTGAAATATCCACTCATTCCTTTTCGTTTCGACATAAGTTAGTCACTTTTTATCCCCCAAAGACGATTTAAAAGTCCACGTAAACGAAATCACAAGCAGAAACGATATTATTGTTTAATTTACATTGTACATTATTACCGGCGTTAAATAGTTGAAAAAAAAAACATCGTAATCAACCAGTGCTTAATTCTTAACAGCGAAATATGAATACTTCTTAATAACACAGATATTTCAATAGCGTGAATTGCCAACATTCCATGAATCACAAAGTACGATTGCCAACAAAACACTAATGTACGTGTGAAGTTACTATTTTGCACTATGACATAATGTCGTCATGCATCAAATAAATAAGAATAAAAACAAACATTACAAAGAATCTATAATAAGTTCGTAAACGAAATAATCTTGACGATACGAATATGACGCCGCGTGGGAAAGATGTCTTTGCTGCCCACAGAAGCTTGACTAAATACGTTCATTTATATAGAAAATTTATCACGTGCTTGCTTATCAAATGTATGTGGATAACATCAGCAATATAATTTTAGACATTAATTATAGACATATATTATGGGTCAATGCCTAAAAGCAAAAGATTTTCGGGTTCTAAATTTTAAATGCAAATGTTAATTATTATCGTTTTAATAAGTCTATTCGAGAAATTGTTGTTCTTGCTATTGATTCAACCAAAGACATTACGGCATTGGCTAACTTATGCGTCCTCTTAAAAAGGCAACGACGATGTTCATGATCCGGGCAATTTTCATAACGTTTTTAAAAATTGCAGATATGTTAAGTGGTCCAAGATGCTCGGTACTTTACAAGGGCATCAGGCACCACTGATCGTGCAAAAATATGTTAAAGAATACACATGGTCGGTGGATAACTGACGAAGATGCGTGAAGATCATAACTGACCAATTGTATAATATAACGTTCCTTATACAGTGAACGGAAGATCCGTTAAAAACCACCAGAAAGGAAATTAAAATTCGGGTTATTATGTAAAAGATTCCTCTTACATAAAAACCTGAATTTTGAATTCGGTGGAACCTTTTGCACAATAAAATGCAGCAGTAAACACACGGACTTACTAAAACTGAGTAAAAATACTCAGCAAAAAAACTGCAAAGAAACCTAAACGTCATCAAGAGCAAGAGTGGTTTTGAGAGCGCAGATATATAAGAAGTAATCAGGAACCGTCGATTAGTTCGAATGGACATTCACGTTTGCGGATATAAGATGCAACTTAATCGTTAAGCTTACCTGTGGGTCATCATCTTGGACTAAACTCCGCCTCTTCATCGCATACTCTTTGACAACATGACTATTATCAGTATTAGCATCTACGTTGAACGTCTTCAGTCTCAACATTGGGTTTATTGGTCCCAGGGGCATGCTGTATTTGTTGTAAGTCAAGTATTTGTTTGTGGTTTGATGAAACGAGTTGTTAGACGATGGGTTATGGGAAGACACTTCGATGATGCTCTGTATACTGGGCCTTGTTGCACGTTTCTTCGGCCTGACGTATGTACGCGAGTCGAATGTGTGCTTGTCTGGCATAGCAAGGACTTCATCTGCAAAGACAAAGAATGGTTTTATATTTGCCAAGTATACTATAAATAAAAGGCAAGTGAAGTGACATTTTTTTCGAAACTATAAATGAGCATTTGGATTTTTTACAGAAGCACATGTCGATTGGACCTCGAGGCTTCAATTCCAGTCATTGCAATCCACGAATTGATATTGATCCCAGGTGGTGAGCTATCTCCCTATATTCATCTAAGGTTAAGAAAGGTCTACGTTCCAAAAATTAAAAATTTACAGGCTGACCATAATTTCGCAGGGTATCAGGATATGTTTTAATAATTTTATATGGGTGTTTACATTGTATTGTATAAACATTTTGAATAAATTATATTATAGCCATATGAAAATGATTAAGAAACTTAGAGTCACTAACTCAGAAGACCATATCCATACTAATTATACTACAAATAGTAAATTGTTGCATCAAATAGGCCCCGAAACTAAAGGACCGATAATAAAAATTACATCGTACGCAGCTGACAAAAGCTATATTTTACGCGAGCTACGTCGCGGGAAATCAGCTTATTATTTTATAATAGCATCTAGGAACCCTTGTTTACCTAATTAGATCGCGTATTCACAAGGGGACAAATGTGTAACAAGTTTCTCATGATAAATTATGGCATGAGACGTCACTTACTTTACACTGTCTTACTTTGTAATAATTAGTTTTAAAAATACTTAATAGAAAATAGGATTTTGAAATAGAAGCTCAAGGGATAGATAATAAATATAATGAATGGCCAAAGTATAAAAACTCATTTTTCGATACGCAGCAGAGGTAGGATCTAATACTGCTTCTGATGAACAGATATTATTCACAGATATGATTTTAATAAAATTTTCCTTATTTACTTTCGAGGACAATTAAAATAGGCCCTCCGCCGATGTCATGTTAATTCGTATGAGTTAACACAGAATATTTCATTTCTAAACTAATATTACAAAGAGGAAAAATTTTATTGTTTGTTTGCCTCGAATAGGCTCCGAAACTACTAAACCGTGCGACTATCTAACTAACTGCTAAACAGCTAGTTAAGAAAGTGTCAATAAAAATAGGTCTCACGTACTGTTCCGTTTGTATAACCTATCGTGGGTATCACTCATGGCGACACTCCTGTTTCCTGTATATATGTACAATCAACGACATATCGGTTTAGCAGACATAGCAAATTTATGCATTCAATATTAAACCTTAACCAGTGGAATGTAAAGAGTAAACTTGATTGAAATTATTCTTGGTAGGGCTGCATTATGTATACCAATTGCTCTGTTATCAAACCATCAAATGTCCGTGCAGTTAACATTTCAAACTAAATAAAGGTAACTAGTAGGTAGCCTCAATGGTTTATAATTTTTAGATACGGTTAGGTTTCGCCATCTCCGAAGTTTTAGATTCGATTGTCTGTCAGGTTAATATAGAAAATAATTTTTTCTATTGTACAATTTGAGAATAGTGCGGATGAGACATCGCGGAAGACCTCGATTCACACGTATTTACGATATCTAAGTGTTTGATATCTGGTAGTTTATCCTCTATTTTACACTTACTTAATACAAGCTGAATTGCATCTTATTTCTACAAATATAGAAGACTCAAAATGTACTAGGTACTAATCCGACATGATATTTTTTGTGCGTCTCCTTTATACGCGTTCGTTGACTTTGCACGAACGGTTATCTATCGCGACCATCTCGTTAAAATTGGCACTGATGTAACAAATTGCAACGATTATTTTTAGTATAGTTCCGTAACGGTAAAACAGAAATTATTTTATTGACGTACGAAAACCAAACATTATACTATCTTAATAAGGTGCATAATGATAAGATTGCTTTGCTTGTGAGATTACGATGACCTAATTACCAAGGCATATACTTAAATAATATCACAAATGATTTGCACTTGTAATATTGGTATGACAGTCAGAAATTACGTAGAGGTGACATCTGTAAAATCTATAATCACAAAAATTGTGTGTAACCCCCGACAGTATATAAAAGCTGACGCAGTCATAGACGCTCTCCGACCTTATAATAATAATAGTTTGAATGAAAATTTGATTTTCTATAATTCCATAACATATCTATATCTATTGATTTAATCGTATTAAGAAGACATTGCACTAATAATATTGGACATTTAGATAGCACATTTAGTTACCACATTCAAGTCAAATTTCTGCAGTTGATTTTGAAATATATCCCTAAAACATTTAAGTTTAAAAACAAGTAAATAAATTAACATATTTGTATAACCTGACGTTCTGTAGACTATACAATGGAAAACTGAAATTAATTGAGATGCCATTATTCCTTTCACATTAGTAGATGTACAAAATAAACAATTAAAACAATTCATCTATTACTTTGACATGTAATAATTTTAATAGCAACTAGTCTTTTAAGTTACAGTACATAGAAAACCAATAAAAATATTTGAAAGGTTTACAAATAAAAGTATAAGATATAACGAGGAAGCATAAAAGAAAGTAGTAACAGCGGTACGCAATCATGCATGCATGATGAATGGAATATCAATATCAAATTTCTTAAGTTATTTTCAATACAATTTGTTTGATTTTAAACATACCGCAATAAATAGATAATCGCAACTCAATAGATAATAAAATATATATATTTATGAGTCCCCTTAACAAGAGGCGGATAGAATCAAATAAATAATACCTACTCTTTTCAAATAAGAGTTAAACAGATTAAACAAAGTCCAAACACTGATGACAATACATTGGCAGTGGCATCAGAGTATTTAAAAAAAAAACCGTCAAACAGAAGCACCAAAGGCAAAAATGTCACCTCTCCAACCCTCCGCATAATTATTACTTGTTTGATTAATATAAATCTTCCATCGTTAGTGTTGGCTTGAAGATCTTATAATACTTGTTGGATATGTAACTGATAATGTCTAACAATATGTTGACACGTGTCTCTTCACTCCTCTAGATAAAAGAATATTGAGTAAGCTAAACCAATTATTTCAATTTACTCAGCTTACGGAATGAACAATTTTTAATGAAATAGACGCATTGTGCTAACGACGTTTCAGAAATAATCACGCCACCGAGACGAATGAAAAGACTACACGGTCAAAAGCGAAGCTATTGTCAATTTACTATAATGTAGTTCTAATTATATTAAATTTCAAGGTAGAGTTAACAAAATCTTTCTCCGTGAAAAGTAAGATTTGTTATAAAGAGAGCCAAGTATTCAGTATTGCTTTTGTATAAAGTGAAACTGCGTATCGAGCCATTTGTGAAACAAGTTTCGGTTTCCGTACGAGACGTGGGCTTGACTTTCGTTATACCGATTGTTTGTGAACATAATGCGATGCGTAATATGATACGTGCGTGACGTCACAAATGGTATTATGATATGCCTCAGTAGGACAACATAGATAAGTCTGTTTGCATATCCTTCTTATTAATTATTCAATGTGTTTTGTTTATAAGAAACCATCATTGCAGGTAAAGCGTTAGATAACTAGACAAAGAGGAGCAATGAATTAGAGGTGCTTGTATTATATTTATATTTATCTGCAATTTTAGTGAAACAGGATTCTACTATATTTCTACATTTCCCCAGGGACTACGCAGGCGAAGCCGCTGGCAGAACCTAGTTATAGATAAAAAAATCATTTTTTTACAACAATGTTCGCTAGAAAAATTAGTTTTCTATGCCATCTGTAAAAAAGTAAAAATGTCCCGGATTTTAAGCTGGATACCGAAAAATAACTATTGCTCGTCTTTTCCTTACGATATGTTGATCGTACATAGCGTGACGACAGCAAGTGACGAGAACTAGCAAAAATTATTTCAACCTTGAAGAACTCAGGAAGGAAAACCTCCACTGATGAACTGACATCTCCAGAGCTAGGACAATTACGGGATAAGCTAAAGGGGTGGTAAACCATTAAGTGTTACTCTTGGGTTCTTAAAAGTCCTTTACTTAACCATAGAAACATCAGTTGGACTGTTTATTGTTTTTATATTACTTACATACGCACTTCCCAATCACTACATATTATAAAACAAAGGCCCCGCCGCTTTTGTCTGTCTGTTCGCAATAAACTCAAAAAGTACTGGACGGATTTTCATGTGGTTTTGTTATTATATTACATACATACGCACTTCCCAATCACTACATATTATAAAACAAAGGCCCCGCCGCTTTTGTCTGTCTGTTCGCAATAAACTCAAAAAGTACTGGACGGATTTTCATGCGGTTTTCAACAATAGATAGAGCAATTCTTGAGGAAGGTTTTAGTGTATAGTAAGTTTAGGTTTTGTACAAACTGACGATATTACAACGATATTAGTGCAATATGTCGGAAAAAATAAAGCAGATCGGAAGCTTTCCTAGAATACGCTGCCAAAAACTTTCGAGTTATAACAAAACATTGTATGGTGGAATTGTACCTCTTTAATAGATCTAACAAAAAAGTCCGCGGTGGCATATGATATTCCAAGGATAACCCACAATAACCCTTTTTTTACGTATGCTTAAAACAGTTAGACTTAAAACAAATGATGGGTTATTTACAAACCTATTTTTAAGAATACAGTATTAATCCTTATTCAAATAAATAAGTTAGATACGTTATGCATGTAATGTAGATCAAAAATGCCTTTTACACTATATCAAAAAAATTAATAACTAATGAGTATAGCTAAATAGTATAGAATAAAAATGAATCGCCGAAACGTATACGCGCATAACTTCCGAATTCCAGTTCCGACTGCACCAAATTGGATGATTCAATTTTTTTATGTGTTCCACGATTAATGACACGGTTTGTATATAAGATTTTTTATTTAAACGGGTATAAGGCGGTACGAATTTCGCTGGGGCAGCTAGTGTTTTTATATAAGATGATATCTGGATAAAAAAGTCATTTAGTCCTTCAGTCAGATAATAGAAAAATATTACATACATATAAAAAAAAATTGCTTCAGTTTACAAAATAAAGCTTTGATATTAGACATTAAAATTGTGGAGTGGGGGTCGGTACATTACAACAACGTAGAAAATATACAAGAGGACATGCGCCATTTTAATTTAATATATCGCTGTAAGTTATTGATTACGCAAAAAATAAATACGTTATTAAACACGTATTTATTTCTTCAACGAGCTACCTGACGGACAAATAAAACAGTATATTTTTAAATAATATATTACAAAGGAATATATTTTTTCACAAGTTACTGTTATATTTTATTTCAATTACTGATGTTGTTGATAATATAAAACTGCAAGCATGCAATCAACATTAAAACGTAGTGGGCAGAGGAAACTGGATGCCGACGCAAATGATTGGGTTTTATTGGCAGTTCGTTAACGATGATATTGAGATTCTGCATATAGTATTTTATGAATATATTAAACTGGAAACCAATTTGCATGAAAGAAATAATAATATGTTTGCGACAGGAAAAGAGAAACTTAGAAGATTCTGTTTCGGGACTTTTTATACGTATATCTGAACCAAAGCCACTTTTTCACTAGATTCGAAATTATCAAGCGCGGATCTAGGATTTAGTTTAGTTAGCAATCTTAGTTCATTGCACCTGCTTATCTATTTATCTAAATTAGGGTAATAAATTTATTTGTTAAATATTTCGAAATTAAAATGGTTCATATTTTCCAAACACATAACAGAAACCGGAATTTCCACTTGCAGTAAACATCCCCAGTCTGTGTTTTTCTTCTCATGTAAGATAAAGCGGAATTTAAGCTAATCTCCAATTAAACGTGGGGTATATTGTATTTACATTGTAACAGTATTACTCATTCCCACTACTGTAGACCAATCGTTCAGTAAGAGCTTAGAAAACATAACATCGATTCAGAACTAAACTGAATAGAAACGCTTCTGAAATCAATTTTTCATTAAAAAAACTCAACATAATCAATCGTTTCAATATTCATAAATTTGATCACATGTACCAATTTTTAATGGCTGCCTTTTTATCTCTTACTAATTTGTTACACATTTTTAAGATTAAAGAAAATATTTTTTATCAATAAAAGATATTTTATAATCTAAGAATAAAAACTGATAAAGTTAAATACGTCACGGAATCTAAAAAATTTACTTACGAGCAACAATCACTAATAAGAAATTGATTGTGCCTAAACAAACATCAAATAAACGTATACTTAGAGAATACACAGAACTCACTAACTTCGAACTGGTGTCGTACAAAAAAATGAAGTCCACATAAGCTGTAATTAAAATGAGAATTTGTTAGAACTATCGAAATTGTCTACTGATTTCCTTACTAGCCTTCAGAAATATGCCTACATTTGCAAGTTTCTATAGTGTTGTAATGCTACAATGGATAGATAATTGTTAAATTGCCTGCCTGACATTGAACCGTACTGTTCGACAAATGTACACTCGACTCCAGAAACGGAAATGTTATAGTTAACCATTTAATAGAACAGCAAACGTGAGATATATAACACATGTCGCTAGTTGTCTGTAAGAAATATTTAAAGGTACATACAATATCCCTATTCATTCAAATGCCTATTCGAACTTTAAAATAATGAAATGTAGAAAAAGTTTTCTATAAATGGATGTTGACGTTGTCTGTACCATAGGACCCGACTGGACATGGAATAATCGAAGGAATAGACCGATGAAGCATAAATGTGGCATACATGATAATAATGTGCTATGCGCTTTACAATTATGAACAAATTCATATAAGATTACTTTGTTTACAGTTAATATTTTAATAACTTATTTAAGGCTAATAATAGCAGATCAATCCGATACGAAAACGGATGTAACAAATTTTCTTTACATCTTTCAAATGAATGACAAGTAATGTGGTAACATTACAATTCTGATGATTCCGGCATTTCATTTCATTAAAAAATTCTTAAGTTAATAAGTCTATAAAACCCTATTCATTAAAAATATATATATATATATTTATTGATTAAAATTTTATATATCTAATCAAATATATAAATATCCCAATTACTCTAAGATAAATGTGTAATCAAATCTAAATATGGTCTCCTTTGGCGCAGTATGTGAGGAGGGGGGTGTGCGTTAAGCATTTAACTGTATATAATTTCTCCGATATTAATGCTATTTGTAATAAAATGTTTCTCAAATAGAAATTTGACAAAAGTAACTTTCGCTAACATCAAAAATGTATGTTTCTTACTTTAATCAATTAACCTAGAATGTTCATATTGATTCTTTGATATTAATAGAAGGTATAGGTACTTATGACCTACAAAAATATTTCAAATCCAATCATCCTTAAAAATGTTTCCATCTGAATGGACATATTATATATAAATTATTTATAACACATAGGTAGGTATGATAAAATCTAATCTTTGTCCCGACTTTATGATGCGTATCGGATATAGATGAATAGTCGCCATCATAGTGTAATAAATGACAATCTTGATTAATAATAAATGTACTTAGTTATTTACTTAACAAAAAAAATGATATTACTCTCCCCTTAATTCTATATCAAAATCCCTAAACTGTTACAACTATTTTTTTCCTTATATTCTCTTAACTTCGTAACCAAAAAGCCACACTAAAGCCATACTAACATTAAAAAATATGGTAGAATGGTGGTTCCTATATTGTCTCGCATCTGTTTGTTATCTCAGATGCTCCTTGTCTTGATGTATGTAATGTTGTACATTATTTTATTTTTTTTAATTATACTTGGTTCTTGACTAGAATTTGAACACATTCAAAAGTCCATGCAATTCAGGCAAATGACAATGATTATATTCTCTTTTAAGTTACTAATTCTGTTATCGCACATCAGGTTACTGGCTTCTATCAAGGCTTTGCAACTATATGCTATGAGATTCACATTCACATTATTCACATTCTATTAAGATGATTAGTGTAATAAATAGGTACATATATCAAGTGTTCAAGTAAAGTTAGGTTAGGTTAAAGACTGTGTTTACAAATGGATCTCAGATGGCCCTGGACTTCCAGTGAGATTAGTCCACCACTGAGCTTAAGAACTATTATCTAAGATTGTGGTTCTAATTATTGTAATGCAAGCTGATGGTTTACCGATTGAAAAAATAAAAAATATAATATGCTTGGTGAAGAGCAATTTATATAATTAATATTATTTAATTGAATTACCTATATATCAGCCCACTAGTTACGAGTAAATATTGCTTTATTTTATGTTGAATGGAATACAAAAACCCTAAAAAATATATCCCCTATTTAAGACATCTATAATTTTCATTTACTTACTTTTTCAAAAATATTATTACATGCATATGCCCCGCATGTAATAATTAATTATTTATTGTATATATTTAGGATATTTTTTATAGTATAGTGAAATTTATTTTAACATATTAGAACAATCACTTTTTTCGCTGATGAGCCAGTAAAAAATTCTAACTTTTTTTTGGTCTCATTGTGCACCATGACACAAGACAAGCTAGAACAGCTTATGATTATAGGAAAGGTGGATGAGTAACAGCTGAGAGACCACAGCCCAACATGATGGTCTACTACATGATTTACTCTATACTGCCAAAAATGAATAGATGGAGAATCAATGACCGTCTTACCATCAAGGGGACCGTGACCCTCAGCAAGAGGACCACAAGCCCATATAGGTAGAGATTTCAGCAACAATGTAAACAATGAAATATAAAAATAAATGTACTTACTTTTGAGTATGTTATCAAGTATAACGTTAAGTTTTTTCTCCAGCTCTTGGTAATCATCATCTTCATTATTTGGCCAGTCGCAGGATAGATCTACAAGGTCTACTTTGTTACCGGAGTCATTAGGTACACTATACAGCCTGAAACAATATAGGAACAAAATAATACTCATGAAGACAAAATTTCTAAATCTCAATGCATTGTTACTTAAATAGTTCTTTTTAACTGTGCTATGCTTGTTAATAAAGGCCTCATACACAGATTTATTTAATTAATTTTTACTCCTATACAAAGTTGTTATTATACCAAAATATGTAGAAATAATTTATATATGATATGCATATATTATTATATATATGATAAAATTCAAATAATTTTATTGAAAATAGAAGAACCTAATAGCATATAAGGATCCTTTAGTCTATTATTTCCATAATCTAAGTACTTTGGCTACTTAATTTAAAATCTGAGCAATCTATGTGATGCTGTCTAACAATTGTTTTATAATTTACTGACTATTTTCCTGTGGCTTCACCTTCACAAAATATAGCCCATGTCATCCACATGAATTGTCATTGAAGTAGATAGGTGAAAGAATTTTAAAAATTGATTAAACATTTTCAGAGTCTATTCAAAGCAAACAAAATAATATTAGTAAAGATTTATTAAAAAAGTGCTGAAACTATTACTATACTGTGACTATTATTATATAAAAAAAGAACTATAATATCAGCTATAACATATAATACCAGCTGTAACTTATCTAAATCAAAGACAAAGATTACTTCTATTGAAGCACAGTCAAGTAAATAAAAGCACAGTTTATAAACAAGGTACAAATCCAAAACATCTTTAATTGAAATAGTACTTAATAATTCTACTACTTTCAAATACTTAGATAAAATCTGTAGTTATAAAAATTGTATATAAATAAGTGTTCTATATAAATAACAAAATTATAACATTAGACATAACACCCAGATCTTTGACAATTGTCAAGTAAATAAAAGCACAGTTTATAAACAAGGTACAAATCCAAAACATCTTTAATTGAAATAGTTCTTAATAATTCTACTACTTTCAAATACTAAGATAAAATCTGTAGTTATAAAAATTGTATATAAATAAGTGTATAATAACAAAATTATAACATTAGACATAACACCCAGATCTTTGACAATTGGCAGGTAAATAAAAGCACAGTTTATAAACAAGGTACAACTCCAAAACATCTTTAATTGAAATAATACTTAATAATTCTACTACTTTCAAATACTAAGATAAAATCTGTAGTTATAAAAATCTAATGTTGGTACTAGTAAAACTGGAAACGAAGAACCTGTTGATGAATTAGAACAAGTTACCCATCAAAGGAAAAAAATCTGACATGTCCTGTGTTGACGACACAATGTGTGACCTAAAAATGTAATACCTACTTAATTGAGTAAAGTTATATTATTAATAGAAAATTGAGTACTCACCAAGTCTGATCATCGGAATAATCCAAAGATTCCACGTCGATCAGATCAGATTCAATCATATCTTTGTTTATATTTTGATCAACCTGATTCATAATACCAGCGAAGTGGAAACAACAATTTGGCACTTTGAACAAATTACATAGGAATTTAAATAGTTAACTACATTTAAACATGAAAGATTACTGTAAATGTAAATAGGAAAAGTAAAGTTATTTTATGATCCAACAAGAAATCACTCCAGACGAGTCGGATTTGTAATTTGACATATACCATAAGCAAATAGTGTATCCATAGAGCACGTAAGAAACTACCGTTTTATCTTCGACTATGCTTGGATCAGAAATCAGTGTAGAAACATAGATAAGTAGAAAAGAAAGAAACGGTCCTGAATGAATTTGTTGTTAGAGGGAGATTAAACAGCAGTTTCTATTGAATATTGAAATATTAATGTATATACTAATATAGTTAAACAATTAAGTTTTATTATATTAGTATATACATTAATATTTCAATTTAGTGATATCAGAAATCGACGGACGTTATCAATTAAAACTATATTATGGTATTAGCGATGGTCTACGGAGGTTGAATATTGTGCCTTGCGGCTGACTACCAACACTCCTCCTCAGAAGGCAGGTTAGAGGATAGTTTCTCCTCCTATGACTTTAATTCGCTCATCGTTCTCAGACGGAAAATTCTCTATTCTCTATACAGCTGATCTCCAAATGCGGTTGCGGTTACTAACCGTGCTCTTTTTCATGTATGCAGCTGGAGAAAATCTTTGGCCTCACTGGTATCCCTTTGAAAGTTTTCTTCACAAACTATAATCAAGGCCAGTCCTTACTTCATTTCGAGGATCAGTCCTGGCCTAGTGCCTCCCGATTCCTTCATTGATTCTATTATTCCATACTCAAGTACTGTCAAAATCTTTGGTATAATCTTTTATCAACGTTTTTGATGGAAACCGCACATTGGTTTGTTGAGGAAAAATTTTTTGCCGCATAGTTTGATTTCGGGAAATAATGTCTTTTTTTTAATACTTCCTCATTGTCTCGATTCGTTTGAATTCAGGTTTGGAATTAAGGACAAAAAACGGAGCGCCGAATTCAGCTTGTTTTTTTTTTTGTACCGTATTTCCATAAGTGCCGTTAAGTATCCACACGTCGAATTATATTAATATAAATATCAAAATCAAATCAGTCTAGGCTGTTACGTAGAACTTGTGAAAACTTCACAAACGGTTCGCAAAACTAAGGCGAAAGATCTTGTACTAAAATTGATTTCTAGAAGTTGAGTAAGAAATCAATTAATTATTGACAGCATATACCCACCGTACGAATTAACATAACTTTGGGATTTTGAAATTTATAGTTATAACCTTGTTGTTAGTTTCGAACGGACATTTCTTCTTTATTGCTAAAATTTTATAAATATAAAATTTGATAACTGATAGTTTTTTTTAATCGTAATTTCGAAAGGACAACTTATTTGCACATTATACTTTGGACAAACGTCATTCTAGCCAGAAGTTATGTTATTATGTACGAATACCTAGTATGTTTGATCCATATCGGGAAAGTATCCCAGATAGCAATTTAAACTTGTTTCTGACTTGCAACAAGTTTGATACATCAAATAAGAAGACATGCTTCAAGTTTGCCATGACAACTACAGCAACTTGCAGCAAGTTTAAATCAAACTTTCTAGTTTCAGTGTGACAAACTTGCACTACCTTTGACGTATCAAAGGTAGTGCAAGTGTACCTAGGAAAATTATTATTACTACTACCGTAGTATTAATAATAATTTTCCTAGGTACTGACTCAAATACCTAGCAGGTACTCGGGTACTCGAGTACCTGCACCTGTAGCATGACAAACTCGAGAAATGCTTTGTTTACACCCAAATGTCACTTTTCGGGGTCGAGAGTGAGAGATTGTATGAGCGCACCCGAGAAATGTGATATTTGAGTTTAGACAAAACGTTCTCGAGTTCGTCATGGTACGCGTGCAAGATGGAATACAGGTTTCGAGGCAAATATCACTTTAAGTTTACTAAGTTTTTATTAATCTTTTGATCATTCAAGACTTTAAACTCAGACCACAGCATAGAGGTTAGAGCCTAGCCTAAGAGCATAACGTGGCGATTGCGAATAGCAAACAAGTTAAATTTATTCAGTGCTTCATTATATGTTATGTTACTGCTATTATTTCTATGATTAAGCGATTTCAAGAATTTTTTGTTGAACTCTTTCGATTCTGTTAACGTGAATATTATAGCAGGGGTTCCAAATAGTACAACAGAAATCAAGGATAGAGCGAACGAAAGAAAAATAAAGTACCTTTAGCGTGTCTGTATTTTTATATATAGCGGCACCAACAATATGGTCTATGTGATAGTTAAATGAAAGATTCGAGTCCATTATGATTTTTCCATAACACGACACGAATACGATACAGCCAAATTCGCATTGAAGCGTATCGATACAAAATATCGACCTAGCGCATTCCATTATATCGATATATCGATACGTGTCGGGCATCGCTATCTAATAATCTACAGGAAACAGTTTTCTTTTTGTCTACGGACACGTTGTGAGCACGTTGTAGAAGTGAAGCTTTAGGTGTAAAACTGCAAAAAAATGTCGTCCCATTTGAATTGGATGATAATTCGCAACAACAACGCTTTCCTCGTGAAGAAACGCAATATTAAAAAACCCTTCAGCAAGGAACCTAACAATGTGACTAACCTCAACTCCTTTCGATACAATGGTTTGATCCACAAGAAATCAGTCAGCGTGGTTGAAAATCCTGACAGAAAAGGATTCACTGTTGTGTACAAGAAAGCAAAGGCTACACATCATCCTGCTCAGAACTCAATGCGCCGTCCTTTCAAAGCTGGCGCTCGCAGATCACTCTACAAAGTGAGGAGGCTGTTGAAGAAAAACCACTACCGCACAGACCTCTGCAAAGCCACGCTGCGCCGCGCTTCAGCTATTCTAAGGTCTCAAAGGCCCATCAAGGCCAAGAAGCCTAAAGCAGCCGCAGCCAAAACGGAATAACTTTAATGTAAGCTGATAATAATAATAATAAAAAAATTAAAATCTATGTTTTTTTTTTATTTCAAAGCAACAATTATTGTAAGTTGTAGAAATCTATTTTTTCTCAGATTTCTTTTATTTAGGAGTTCAATTATTGTAGGGGACCACACTTATGATTAACACCTATTTTGGTTTTTAGCTTATTACATTAGACCTATCGCATCACCACCATTAAATTAAGATATTTATTGATGGGTATCCTGTCTTGAGCACTTTGGGCAATTTGATTGTAAAAATTTATTGAAAAATATCTGACTTTGCAAACATATTTTGGCCATAAAATTTGTGTGGACAATCCTCATCTTATGAGGGTATAAAATAGCAATCTATTCTCAGACCTACTAAATATACATATAAAATTTCATCAACATTGGTCAAGCTGTTTAGGTAACCAAAACATTTTTTAATATTATTAAATAATATTTACTGACCTACTGATCAATATGGATTCATTATTTCTGGATTAGAAATGTCCCAAGATATCCTATGCAAACCTTTTTCATCATAGAAGAGGAGAAGGTGAAACTTTTCAGGTCATTTTCAAAAAATAAAAGTGGCTTATGAAGAAGTTAGAAGATCATTATGAATTTAAAAATGGATTATCGCCTTGAATTTTCTAATGCATAAATCATTAATGCCAGTAGCACCTGCAATTACTTGTGCCTACTAATCTATTCTCTGAGTATAATCTCCTAGATGTGTAGTATGAGGAACTAGAGATGGGGTCAAAAGTGAGATATGCCTGTTGAAATATCTTGTCCGTTTATAGTCTCCAGATTGACATGCTACACTAGCTGTATTCCCCTGTTCTCTCCAAGGAGAAGATATGTCCCCCTCCAGGAGTATGGACTATTATTTGCTTGAATGTTTATTCACTTTAATTCCTAGGTACTATTACTTTGTCTGTGGCTCCGTCATGCCTCAAATAAATCACTGAATCAATTTTAAGTAGAGTCATACCCACTTTCTGTACATTGATTGACCCCAACATATTTTCTTTTAAAGATTGTGTCTACCTAATACAATTTGTGTTAATTATTTCTTGCCATCTTTCGATCTGGAAACCAGGTGATATGAGTAAATATTATACTTAGTAAATATTTTGAGGTTATAACGAGATTTCAAAACAAGATAGATAATTGTAAAGTTATTTAAAAAAATAATCCATTTAAATCATAGATTGTATATTATTATCAAAGCTATTTCTTAGTTGTGGAAATAAAATAAAAGGTAATTGATGAATAAATATTTTTCCATAGTATCCATAGCCATAATTATACGGTTCAAATTACATTATCGTATTTTTATGGAACTCAAAAATAATTTCCAGTCATTCCTGATTACAATAACTTTTTGTTTTAATCTAAGTCAGTCATGCTATTTTTACTTGGCCTTATTTTACGATTCAATTAAATGCATTGAAACAAGTAAAAAATAAGCTACATTTTGAGATAGTACTTTGGGATTAATACCGAAAGCAGGGAAATTTCGAAAATTACAAGTTTCTATATCAACTGTTGATAAAGTTGACAAATGAAAAAACTTAATAGATGAAAATACTTTAAATTAGATAGAACATATTACTTGTATAATGTCATTTTGCGAATTTCCTCGCATTCGTATTACACCAAAGCACCATAATCTAAGATGAGATATGTATATCACTTCACTAGGCGCGTAAGTACATGATTCTTTGGGACAGAGACAGAGGTTATATTTTTTTGCGAAACAAGATTAAAATAGGGAATGAGTGTTTGAATGGAAGTTGAAGTTGAATGGAATTAAATTTACCACGTGGTCGTTGTCGCGAATCGCGATATATATTAAATGACTTTTAATTTTATTATGAATAAAATGAGTGATTTGTATCAATTGCTTTAATAAAAAAAAAGAAACCATGATTACCATCTTCATCACATACATTTGGAATGTAAATCAAATAGGTACATTATTTTACATATTAAATGACTCGTGTAGCCTCATATTAAGACAGTTTAATATTTTGTCACTCTAATAAGCAAACCTCATAACTCCACAATTATAAATTAAAGTACATAGATACTCCTTTGTTCAATATATATCACCAATCTTGAGGTCCTGGCAAGCAAGTCGAGCCTCTTGTGCTTTATTTATAAGTTAAATTTCTCCCTTGACTTAATTATTGAAGATGTGGATATGCTTATTAAAGAAGGCTATTTCAACTATAACAAAAGTTATTTGATAATATAAATGGACAATATGGACATAGGTACATTATTTTAATAAATACGTTAATATAGTGCTCTTCTAAATCCATTTATTTCGTAAATGTTTATTTATATAATACAAACATTTACTTTAAAGGTATCACAAATAAATTCTTATAATTTTCAGAATATAAGCCAATAATTAAATTTATATTGATATGTAAAAAAAACTTCAATATATTACAGATTTTTCATTGAGCTTGTACAATTAGCAATTCATTTATTTGTACTGTGAGAAAAGAGAGAGCATTCGATTTAAATGATTTCTAATATTATGCTAAATGTACAGGCAATATACACAATTGTGCACTATATTAAGGGCTATTCAAGTATTATTTAAGCAGAATTATAGCATAAACTTCTATTGCCTGCGAAAGTAAGTGTTAGGGCACTCTGATGTCTAGCGCTCTAGGCGAAGGCCTAGAGCTGAGCGCCAAAATCAACCAAACGGGGCAATAGAAGTATTGCCACGAATGGCCAATATTGGCGCCCAACTTAAAAGAAACAAGTAAATTTGGTTATAAGTAAAATAGAATTCAGGTTTCAGAGGTCTGTTTATGTGGACTGATAATGTAATTCTCCGAACATCGTTATTAAAACATAAATAGAAATAAATGGCTAAAAAGACCGTACAAAAAAATATGCTTCTACTGCTGCTTCATACTATTGTCGCATGGTAAAAATGGTTATGCTTATGTGATCATTGGTAGGTATATTTTTATAGTTGGAATTAAAACCTTCTAAATCCCATTTTTTTCTTTCTTAACACTTAAATAACCCCTTATGTATAGTATTGAAGACTATCATATTGTTACACAGTTAACATTAAATCACGACATACGCTACTAGAAATATATACTAGTTTGATTGGTATCCACATCGTCTAAGGTCTCTAAATACTTGCAAGGTGTACACAGCAATTACAAATAAACGGGAATCATCCAGCAGGTCTAAGAAAGCTTCAGGTACAAAATACAATAACAGACAAGAAAATAAAAGGCACAAATATTTAACCTACATATCTTTACAAAGGCACAATACACCAAAATTCACAAATATATTTAGGTTCTATATAATATGTATATACACATACGATAACCCATTCACAATTCAATATATATTTATTACATTATTTTTCGAAGTATAATAATATATTATTTGTAAAATTTAAGAACAACCGAATGATTGGAAAAAATGCTGCATCATTGCAATATATATCTGAATATATATAACTTAAATTTATAAGAGTTTATTTTTTAAATGTAATAAGTAATTTTTATTTTTCACAAAAACTTGTCACATGCTGACAATACGAAAGGTCAATCGTATTTTGGGACCCACTTGATTTGATGCAGTACATTTTTTCAATAACATTAAATGTTAAAACGCTTTAAAATTTAATTTTATAGGTATTTTATCACTAAAATCATAATTCAACAACACCAACTAAATCGATTTACTTAATTTTAGTCAATAGGTATATCGTTGATTTATTATTACGAGCAAGCAATATTATAGTTACAGAAATATTTCAAGTCATCAGAATAAATTTTAACATCAAGACATCACAAGTACAATTTTAATTTCCATTGTTTTATATGAAAAAAGCTCGTGAATTATTGACGCGTATTAGATCATTTTCTTTTAACTAGTTACAAAAATCTATTAGAGGCACACATTTATATAAGTGATACTATCTTGACGGGCTACGTCACAATAATCTTTGTCATTCTCATAACAAACACAATTTTAAATTATATTCTGGCAACAATATCGTCATTTTCCGTTGCCTTGTCTTTTTTTGTTGCTCAGAATCGCTATTTATTAGAGCGTACAATAGCTCTAATATAATAAGATAGAGAGTGTACAATAAATAGCACGCCGCGGTAACCTACGGGCGGTAGGCAACACTATTTTTCTCGCTCTAACTAAAGGCGGTCCTGAGCAACAGCAATAGACAGGACAACGAGAAAAGCTGATATCGTGCTAAAGGTTGTCTTTATTAGTTAAAGTTGCACCCACAGGACATCCAATGCCACAGACAATAGTTATACAGCATTAAAAAAAATATACGAATATTTAGGTAGTTCGTCAAATAGACAAAAGAAAAATATAAGATACATTTTTAACACAATTTATCGCCGTAATTTATTGATTACGCAAAAAATACGTGTTTAATATTCTTAAAAAAATCTACATCCCAAAAATACACGGGCAGCCAAAAATAATTGTCATCATCTCATTAAATATTAGAATGCTGACCCTAAAGAATGCGTCGTAGAAATCTCCTACGTGCATGCTCTATCAAGCAATAAAAATGCGTCTTAAGGCAGAGTATACATATGTGACGATAACTACATTTAAATAGATTTTATTGGTCAATTTTTAGTTATGACGGGATGATGAAATGAAATCTTTGACGTAAGCCAGTCCAAGAAAGCATCACATCTTTTATTTAATATTATCATTTTATGTTCAATATAAGTAAAGAGCATTTATAAAATGTCGAAAGGCAGTGGCGAGACTTTATTGTCATACCTACCAAATCATAATTCTAGATGAATGTCAAGATTTTTTTTATACAAGGATGGTTTCAATACTAGACAACATTTTATGAAAAACCTGTTCAATATTTGAATTCTCGTACCCTGTTATGCAAATATGCATTCAATTTGTGGAAACTGGAATATAGTAAAAGCAAACGTTTCTATTTATGTATCGTACATGCAACT